CCCCCCCTCCTCCTCCCACAAACCCAATAGTTAAGCTAACCCACTTCTTCAAACAAAAAACAGTACATCCTCCGCACCTTCACAAGCGCCTCCTACTCCATCACGATCAACGGGCTGGATTCCTCCTCCAAAGAATTCCCCTTCCCCGCCTCGTTCACCGCCCCCACCGAACAGGTCGAGTATGAGGCGTATGACGCGAAGCTCGCGGCGCGGGTGACCTCGCTGTACGCGCAGCTGGAGTCGTTGACGACGACGGTGGCGCAGTTGCGGCGGGACGCGCCGGGAAGGGCGGCGAGGGCGTATGCGGAGCACTTGAGGAGGGTGATTGAGGAGGAGATGGAGGAGGCAGAGGATGTTGAACTTGAACTTGAACTTGGAGAGGGGGGAGAGGGAGAGGGAGAGGGAGAGCAGGAGAAAAGGGATGATGGTATGGATGTTGTTGTCGGTGAGGAGGCGGAGGAGGAGGAGAACAATGGGTTGAAGGAGGAGAGTGAGGGAGTCAGTCTGGATAGAGCAGCGGAGGATCAAGAAGTGACGGGCACGGGGACGGGAACAGCTACGGCAGCGGCAGCAGCAGCGTCGAGAACAGATGGCGAAGGACGTGATACGGAAATGGTTGATGCACCTGGAGGTGCTGAGGTTGGTGCCATGGATGGGTCAACAGCACCACCACCACCACAAACAAGAAGGTCGGCTCGATTGGCGCGGCGCGCAAAGTTGCAGGTTCCCCTGGGCACGAAACATGAGGCGGAGCGCTGGCGCAATGGCGATATAGCGGAAGTCTACGAGGATGCCTTGCGCACTCTGCTTCGACTGCAGGGTGAAGCTCTAGTCGGGCAGGCCGCTACATCGGACGTTGAGGGTGCAGACGGGAACGCTCTGGCTTCAACTCTGGGGAAGGCCGAACGCGCTGGTCGGGCGGTCGAGGTTGTGGAAAAGAAGAAGTGAGGGGGTTGTCTCGATGTCCTTGCCGTCCCTGCTCTATCCTCTCTTTCACTTTCATTTTGGATTTCATTGAATTTTCGTTATCGGTACTGGAATGGCGTCGGTAGCCTAGGTAGGCTTGGGATGATACCAAATTGATTTATGGTGCATTTTGTTGACTAGTGAATAGTCAAGAATTGTTGGATTTGAAGTTTGATTCAAACGGATTACTTATATCGTCTGTCGTATAATTGTTGAGAATGCTGTATGCAAACAAGATCTACGTAACTCTATTCCAACCGCCGTGTAGCACTTTTATCGTCCACTCTGCATTACTCCCCACCTGCACTCCGACTTATATAGATGCACCCATACACGCTCAGACATTAGTTGAGATCTAAGCCCAAGAGACGACAAGAACTGGAATAGAATGGCAAATCGACAGGCAAAAGAAAAAGAACCATGCTTGTGCAGCCGTCACCGGCGCCCAACACGTAATGAGCTCAATAGACCGAGCCACTTGGGGGGGTTGATCTGACATTGGGTGATGTATGAAATGGAAATTGGCTAGGGCATTAGTGGAATGACTTGCCCGGGAAGGTATGGGGAAAAATGAAACAGACCAAGCAAATCTAGCAACAGAAGAAGGGATATAGATTGGCAAAATCGTGCCTGAAGCTTTTACCATATTGTTCCAATATAACGAAAACAAGAAAACGCATCGGAAATGAGAAAGGCTCTATGCGCTAGGCTGGGGAACCTCAGCAACCGGCTCCTCGGTCTTGGCCACAGCCTGTTCCTCCTTGGGGGCAGCCCACTTGGGGGGCCTGGCCCACTCAGGCTCCTGCCAAGGTCCCATATCGCTGAACTCGCAGCCGCCGCTGCACTTGCAAGAACCTCCGAACTCTTCGGGGAGATTCTCGGCAGGAACCTGTTCCAACAGCTCCTTCTTGTAGTTGCTGCCCAGAATGTGGATCTTGTTGACGGTAACGGGGTCGAGGAACTTCTTCACGAAGCTGAACACGCCGCTGAATCCCCAAGGAGCGTTGATCAGATAGAGCTTACCCAGACGCTCGGGGTAGTAGTTCTGGGAGACACCAGACGCCTTGCTGAGGTAGCCGTACACGGATGGGGCGCTGGTGATTCCGACGCCCTTGAGGTCCATGATAGTGCAGCAGGTCTCCAGGAGCTTGCCGGCCTTGCGCGAGCAGGCGGGCAGGCGGGGATCGGCGAGCTTCTCATACTCAGTCACGAGGTTCTGAAGCATACGGTCTTCGGTGGTGATCTTGTTCAAGGCAGTGAGATCGATCTTGCCAAGCTTTTCGATGTAAACGGGCCGGCCATCCTAAACGCATCAAAGTCCTTAGCGCCCGATCTCGAACCGCTTCGATGGGCATGTTGGCTTAGTCCTGGGGGCCGTACCTTATCCGTCTTGTGATAGTACTGAGGGTAATACTCGAAGACCTTAGGCTTCTCGGTGTAGTCAAAAGTGCGGACCAGGTCATCGGTCCCGAACTCTTTCCGCCACTTCTCGCTGTCAATGAACCTATTCACCAAAAGTGTTAGCCCGTTGACTTCTGTTTGGACATGATACCCCGTCGTGAGAAACAAAGCATGAGAGTATGCTAGTGTAGTGTCGCCATATTCATGTGCATCGCTTGTAGGGACGAATTGCCATATAGGATGCAATGCAAACAAGGAAAACCTACATAGCTTTGGCAAGGGCGACATCGAACTTGCGGGCTCTCAAGAAGCGCAGCAGAGTCAAAGTGTCCAGTCTCTCGGTGTAGCCAAGCTGCTCCAGTTCGCTCCGGAGCTGTTCCACCTTCGCATCTTGCTCTGGGGTGGTGTGGCCGGGATGGCCAGACTGAGCCTCCGGCGCTGTGGTCGGGAAATCGTAGTTATCGTACTTGGAAGGAGCAGCCATTTTGAATATGTGTGAGGGGGGAGGGGGGGAGGGAAAGGAAGAGGGGTGAAAAAAGAAAAAAAGAGGAAGAGATGTGGAACGGAAGAAGTCAAGTCGGGTTTAAGAAGGACTAAACTTCCGTCGTGGATCGGGAAAGGGGAGGGGGAGGTGGAGGGAGCGGCGAGGATAAATTGGGCGGTGCAGCAGGGGGAGGGGAGAGGGGAGGGAGAGGCAGAG